CAGTCTAGAGCAAGTCACTTAAGTATTTCTGGGCCTCAGCTCAACCTCTGCAAAGCAATCAAATACTTAAGTGTTGCGAGGGAGGTTTACTTTCCTAACAGCTTTGGACTTCACATTAAAAAATGGACCTGAACTCTGCCTCCTAGGTGAGATAAGAGTCTTGGTTTGAACAGGAGAGCATCGATCCTCTCAATTTATAGCAGAAGAAATGTGAGGTCCAGAGAAATGAAGACATTTGGCTGAAGTCACACAGCTTTTTAGTAACATAATGAGGGCTGGTACCTACAGACATCTCCTGCCCTCCTGCCTAGCACACTTCCTACTAAGCCGTGGGTGCCATGCTTCTCTTGATTTGAGAATTACTAAATTACTGGCTAGGAGAATGATCCTGCATATAAATGGATTATTAACCCAGAGCAATCCACTGGAAGCTAGCTAAGGAACTTAACTAAAAGTTGATTTAAAAAATCCTCGTTGTGGAGTTAGGTGTAGCCTAGCTACACATCAGCCATAGATGATATGCTTTAATGAAAGCGGGTTGTCGGTGTTGATGACTATCCCAGCTGCTTCTTCCTAAGTCCTGAGCCCAGTCCTTCTCCCTCTTTCTCAATCTTGAATATGCTTGTAATCTCCATTATGAGGTATTCATTAACAGTAAAGTGGGGGGAGGGGTAGCGAAGGGGAGGACTTGTTCACAGGTGATCCTAGTTTTAGCTCTAGCAGGCATGTGTGACCAGAAAGCTGGCTCTTTTTTTTTTTTTGGAAGTTTAACAATAGCTTCTCCCTCTCTTCCTCCACCCCTCCCCTTTGCCTCTGCTGGCACTGTACACCCTCACTTAGAGTCCAACAATGCCCCCCCACACACACACACCAGATATCAGAAACCCGTAGTGAAGACTGAGCTGTGAATGCCTTGTTGAAGATGCAGGAAGCACCCAGTGACTCCCCTCCCTTCCTCCCTCTCTGATAACCGCATCGCCTTTTTCTCCTCGTCAGCATTGCAGTGTAGTGTCTGCGTTTGCAGGCAGCCAGGAGGCAGGCTGTGATTTCAAGGCCCCCAGTAGGTGGTGGCACTATGAAGGACCCAATTCTGCAGAATTACTTTGTCATACTTGCAGTCACTGCTTGCTTTCCTATTTAAATATACATATATATATATATATATATACACACACACATACATATACACACATATATACATATATATATATACATATATATGTATATATGTAGTAATTATCCAAATCATATTCCTGTATTTGGAGGTGATAGATTTATTCTTCCAGGGAATGCAAATAAACTTTACAGTTTACACTCATGTAGTCCTCAGTAGCTGCATACTACAGGTAGGGGTTAGGCACTGAAATCCCTGGTTTGCCTGTGAAAGTCCCTAAGAGAAGTGACTCTGGCCTCCTGGTCACAAAAGAGGAAGGTAAAAACAGAAATCGAATCCAAGACATCTGGATTGTTCCCTCTAGGTTGCATTTATAAACTAACTTGCCTTTCCTACCTTTGCCACTGAGTGAAATGTCAGTACTAAGCTTATACCTCTCAGTTCTCTCATCATTATCTTTTTATCTTTTTTTCCCTTAATTTTCCCTTTCACAGTGCAAAGGATATGAAGCATCGTCTAGGATTCTTGCTCCAGAAGACAGATTCCTGCGATCAAAATTCTTCCCATAGTAAGAAGGACAAAGCATCTTCTTCCCAGAGGTAAATAGTCCCAAATAATACCACCATGTGAAGGTCCCATGATGGGCATTTTATTTCAGAGATATAGAAGGGACCTCAGAGGTCCATGAGACCAACCCTCTTACTGTACAAATGGGGAAACTGAGGCTAGAAAGGTTATGACTTGCCTCACATCACATGAAGCATGAGTAGCAGAGCTAGAAATTCAACCCAGAATTCTGAAAATAATGTGAGACGTCTTTTCTACTATGCTATGCTATACCTAAGAGTCAGAAAATCTGGGTCTCAGCCTTTTTGCTTTCCTATGTGCTAGTCAAGTAAGTTTGACTATCATTAATCTTTTCTGACCCTCAGTTTCCAGATCTACAAAATGGGGATTAATACTTCCATGACTTACCTTACAGTGGTATTCTAAGATCCTATAAGCTAGTGTATGTGAAGGGGCTTTGTAAAGGCAAGGAAGTTTTACTAATATAAGCTATTATTCTTTGTGTAATTAGAGCAGATGATCTAGCCCACGCCAGGATCTTTAGAAGTTTTTCCATCTATATAAGTTTTTGTGGCTTGTGGGATTTTTTTGTGTTTTGAGGTTAAGAAGCTAGTACAACTGGCCCCTGGAATTATGCCAGTGATTCAGTTTTTTTTTTTTTTGTAAAGTTTTGAGATTCAGCAAATGCAGGTTTTACCAGTCTTGTCTAAAGAGGAAAACCGGGTACTGATATTATTGGCCTATGGGTATGGAGTCAAAAGGATTTGTTGATTGGGATGGAAATGGGTAGGAAACACATCCCTGCTCTACTTTTAACTAGGGTGAAGATGGGGTTTAGGTCTTACAGATTATGTCAAGCCATCATGTTCAATTGTTCTTTCCCCCAACCCATTTCTCTTGCCTCTAGGGTGAGCCATGAGGAAGTCAAGAAGTGGGCTGAATCCTTGGAAAACCTGATTAGTCATGACTGTAAGTAGGCTTGCTCTCCATTCTTTACAATGAGGGACCAAGTATAATCCTCTTTTAGCATTTAGATATTTCACAATAACCCTTTTCCATGGGAGTACTTTCATGTAACACATGGATTTTCCCCAATAAGGGGGCCATCCTTTATATATGAAGCTGGCACTAATAGCCTTGATCTAAGCAAGAATTAACAGAGTTGTCAGAAGAGGGATGGTCTGCCTTTTGAGACAGTAAGTTCCTCCTCATCGCAGGTGTTCAGACACAGACTGAGTGATTACATTGTAGGTCTGTCACAGCGAGGACTTATAGACATCAGTTCCAGAAGGTCAAACTGAATGACTTCTCAAATTCCTTCCAATTTTGATTCTGAATTGGTTCCATGGGGAATACAGGTATCCTCTCAACATATAAACATTCACCATTTATGTTAAGAGAATAGAAACCATTAGAGTCAAGGGTGTGTTAGTGAATGGAAATTCAGACTCTAAAAGGCTTAGTAAGTCATGAGAAGGAAATGTGCAAGTTCCTTTTCCCAAGATCAGATGGCTCTGACCAAGCACCTTGTAATCATATCTAGATGGTAGGACACACTTAGCAAATTTGCGAAGAAAAGTGAAATAAATGCACACGAAACCTCCTCATTTCCTTGCAGATGGAGCCATGTGATTGGAGGATTCTTTGGAAGTCTTTTTTTTTTTTCTCCCACGAATGGAAATATTCCAAAGGCTAGATCTTATTGCTTTAGCTGGATTATCACACGATGCTCGGTGAATCAGAAATGCTTTCCTGTTCCATGACTTTTTTTTTTTTTTGTACAGTTTCAAAGAATTTTTTCTTAAAAAAGCTCTTGGGCAGACCTAGTAAGGGACCAGGCAAAGATCCCACAACAACTAGCCCAATGGTATCTGACCCTTTTTCCCATTACTCAGGGAGGGAAGAACATTTTATGTATCAGCCCCAAGAGCAAAGGTGCCTAACCCTGAGTGCTTCCAGCTAATAGAAACCTTGGGAGAATGCTTCCTTCAGCAGCCTAGTCCTTCAGCTTTGTCTTAACATAGTACCTCACAGGAAGAGTCCAACTTGACAAACAGAAGTATGTCCTCTGTTTTGTTACAGGTGGCCTGGCTGCTTTCAAAGCTTTTCTGAAGTCTGAATACAGTGAGGAAAATATTGATTTCTGGGTCAGCTGTGAGGAGTACAAGAAGATCAAATCACCCAGCAAACTCAGCCCCAAGGCCAAGAAGATCTACAATGAATTCATCTCTGTCCAGGCAACTAAAGAGGTAGGTATTTATGGTGCAGTACTGTCTGGGAGAGGAGATAGGGGGAAGGAGCTAGGGGAAGGGAGAGTGTAATTTTTCAAGGCTGTGGTACCTGGTCTGTGCCTTTAGTTACTAGAGGTAGCAAAAGTATATAGAATATTCGAATCCTGTTCCCTGCTTCCAAATCCTTTTTCTTGAATCACACTTATCTTTTGCCCAAACTATCTGAGCACTTAAGACTTTATTCTTCTGTGTGGTGGTGGTAGTGGTGTGTGTGTGTGTGTGTGGGTGCCAACTAGCTCTCTGGGGTTATTCTTCCCTATAAATCCTACAGGGTCATATGTCCTAACAGAATTCTTGACTCTTAACCCCAAGGTGAACCTGGATTCTTGTACACGGGAGGAGACCAGCCGGAACATGTTGGAGCCTACAATAACCTGCTTTGATGAAGCACAGAAAAAAATCTTCAACCTCATGGAGAAGGATTCCTACCGCCGGTTCCTCAAGTCCCGATTCTATCTCGACTTGGTCAACCAAGCCAGCAGCACCTGCTGCGGATCAGAGAACCAGAAAGGAGCCAAGTCCCCCACTTTAGACTGTCCTTTGGTCTCTCAGTGTGCCTAAACCCCAAGGGGAGGGAAGGGGGGCACTTCCAAGACTCTCATCTGAAACCCACTAAGGCAAACTACTGATCTGTATTATTAAGCATCAGTGCTGTAAACAAATAGTAGCCTAGTGTCCACATCATGTCCCCATGACAGCACTTGCCATCTCAGCCACTGCAGGCATGTGCAATGGTTCATTCACCTGTAGATGTTCGATTTCAGTGTTTAAATGTCTGTTTGTCCTGGCATTTATCAGGGCAGGAACATCATCCAGGTCCCCTTTTCCCTATATTCCCTTTAAGGTTGCCATCTGATTCTCTAAAATTCATTGTCAAGGCCTTAAGAGCTTTTTGTCCAGCTCTTTGATCCAGGGCTGACAGCCCTACATTGTGTGGTATCCATATGTGCATATGTATGCTGTTAGTCAATGCTTTATGCTGTAGATTTTGTATGAGGGTGACCTATATCATATATGCAGACACAGCTCTAAGAAGAGAAAAAAAAAAGGACCCTAGGTGCTCAGAACTACAGTATGTGTGTGTGTGTGTGTGTGTGTGTGTGTGTGTGTGTGTTTGTCACAGGTGATCATTGTGCTTTTATCCTGAATTTGAATGGAGAAAACCACAGCCACCCTTTTCCCTTTGCTAGCCAAGCTTATAAAGAAACCTTCAAGAAACTGCATGCTGAATTTTTACCAAGCTCTATGAAGATAGAGACTGAAATGCTCTCTAACTTACCTTATTGGACAGAGCAAAAGGGAAGTATGAATGGCTGTTGGGGCCAGACTTAACCCTTACTTTGTTTCATTACCCCTCTGCTCAGCCTACAAAGCCCCATGTGCCCACTTCTCTTAGGCACCAGACTACAAGATAATCGTCCATCATTTTCTTTGCACAGGGCTTTATTAAACACGCAGGTGTTTTTTCATGTGCTTCTTAAATGACGGCATTGGAGACAGAGATGGAGGAGTATTTGGACTAAGAAGAAAGGAAGCTCAGGTGTTTGCAGACCTACTTACCAAAAGCAGCGTTCTGTCCAATCCAAATTCTGGTCAATGATCAATCCGTAAGATCCGAGTGATATTGCAGAATTCAAAATGCTCTTTCCCATCTCTGTCCAAGGTACTCCACGTTTTGTTTCTTTCTGGTGACAATGCACACTCAATGAAAAGGAATCTTAGAGCTGGGAGGGACTTGTTCCTTCCTATTTAGCCCAGCCCCCTCAGTTTATAGCTGAGGAAAGTGAAGCTTGGGAAGGATGGAGTGACTTACCCAATCCAATAAGATAATATATGTGAAAGTGCTTTGTGAAAATCATTTTATTTATTATTAATTGTTAATCTCATCCTCCAAGGTCCCTCAGCTAGTTCTTGCATACAATTGCTGTAGGTTTGGTCATACCTCTCAAGAAGGGGAAAGTTTCAGTTTCATAAAGGAAAGGGAAAGTGGTATGGCACATCCCAAATCCCCTGAGCAAATTTTCTTTGGGAGTTTGGACCCTTTGATTTTTTCCCTTTTCCATTCCCATGTGTAGCCTGCACATAAGGTCTGGCCCTGCCCACCTAGGAACATGGCAGGATCTTGGATCACGAGGCAAGAAGAAAATCCCTACAGTTGGCAACTACTGTTTGGAATCTGTGGGCAGGCTGAATACTTGAAGACTTCTCATTTTTGTTATTTATGACTTTGTTTTATATAATGTTTATTATTGTTATGTTTTCTAAGTACAAGGTGTTTTGTCAATAACCTTTGAATGGTTGGGGGACTAATTTTCTTCTCATTCTTCTGGAGCTGCCATTTTAAATATGTAACCATATTTACAGATATATGTGTAGAAATACATATATATTAAAAAATTCTTTCCAAATTTTCGTATGCACAAGCACACTTTTGACTTCTGAGTCGCTCCCTCAAGCTGTAAGATGAAGACAAGAGAATAAGTTTGTGATGTGCCTGTGTGTATGCCCATCTAATACCATTTTGTATTAGAGAGACAGGTTCTTTACATTGTATACTCTTAGTCTCTCTGGCAGTCACATTTACACTTCTTTCCTGATCTCCCACTCCTGAAGGATGTCCTTTGGACTCCACTCTGTCCCTCACATCCTCCTTGCTCTACTCCCTACCCCCTTCCTACTCCATGTTGGACTCCAGGACTAGAGTCCCCAACCTACAACTACTCTGGTTTATTGTAGTTGTCTTGAGGTGTATTCTTGAACTGGTACTTTGTGGGGGATAGAGACTGGGGGCTACCCAGGAGATCATCCAGAATGAGAATTATTTTATGTAAGATTTTTGGAAGTGTGGCTTTCCTTTGTATTTTCCCCTCAACTCCAGATTCCATCTGGCATAATGAGCTTGATTACCAGTGATCCATGCAAAGACCACTCCTTCGAAACTGTGCATGATTCCCCTTGATACCCTCTCTGTGCTGTGCAGCAAATACCATACAATTCAATGCCGATGCTTCCAGTGGGGGAAAAAAAATTGATATTTTATTAAGGATGAATAAATGCTTCATACAAAATGTCTGCTTATTAACATATTAATGAGCTATGACTGGTGATGGTGTTAGAAAGCGGAAAACCCAGAGGGATGGAAATACTCAGACATCCACCCTTTTCACCTTTACATGACATTCCATGCCAACATTGGCAAAAGAGCAGAAACAGAAACCCTCCCACCCTTCAGCAGCCACTGAAGGCCAGGTGAATTGTGTAAATAGTCTACCAAACAGTTCATTTGGAGGTTTTCAATAGCTGCTCTTAATTTCCCAGAATATGAGTTCAAATTTCATATCTGCACCTCCTCCCCCCTGTAATGTTGAGATGGGATGGGGGTAGTGACAGGTGGAAATACTAGAAGTACAGTGTTTAGAAATTCCCACAAAATTGTTTGCGATTTCTCCTTTCACCTTGTTGATCTTCTTTCAACAGTTGCACAACTTTCAGGTCGGCTATTTTGGGTATCTCTCTGTTAAGTCAAGGACCCTCACCACAGTCAGTCCCTTCTTCCTCCAACTACACCTTTTATTGGAGTTGGTAGGCACATCATCCAAATGATGACTGATACATTTAGCATTGGAAAATATGAGAGAAAGGGAGGAGGGATGTGGGAGAAAGAGAGACAGAGAAAGACAAAAAGATGGAGACAGAGAGACAGAGAGACACAGAGAGAGAATCAATCGATTAAAGGCTTACAATGGGCAAATGAGAACAATTTGTTCCAATGGCCACGAAGGCAGCTGAAGCAGGCATTGTGGAGTGCTGAGAGCTTGGTCAGATACCACCGATGCAAAGATCATCCATGTATCCCAGGCCATTGCCAGTTGTCTTGACTTTTGTCCTGCCACTGAACTACAGTGACTTAGGAAGAGAGCAGGAGGCTGGCTTTGTGCAACTCTCCCTCACTTAAGTCTAATTCACCTGTGATGTCATTGGTCCTCTGAAAACAAAGGAGGAACAACAATAACATGCCAGGCACTGTCATAAGTATTGGGAATACACATATAATAAAAAAGAAAGGCAGCTCCTGCCTTCAAGAAGATTATATTCTAATAAAACAAGACAAGACATAAAAAGGAGCAAAAAAGTTGGTACTGGTTCTAGGTTGGGGAGAAGGTGGAAAAGTAGTCCACAGAGTCTGAGGCAGAGCCGTGTTAGAAATGACCATGGTGGGCATAGAGATTTTCCTCAAGTGGAAGTTCCAGAGCAGAAATTTACAAATTGGAATAGGATATGCCATAATGGTGGAGGTATTACTTCTGTAAGAAGGCTTAGAGATCATTCAATGGAATCTTCTCATTTTACATATGAGGAAACTGAGGCTCGGAAGAACTAAATGACTTGTCCAAAGTCACATGGGTTATAAGTAACAGAGGTATGATTTGAACCCAGGTCTTCTGACTCTAAATCCAGAGTTCTTTCCATGATGCCAAATACTACTTCCTACCTAAAGCATGAATGCCTTCTGTAATCCTACCTCCCAGGGTTGTTGTGAGTACCAAGTACTTTGCAAACTTTGAAGTGCTATATACACAGGATAGCTATTACTATTATGTGATAACTTCCATGGGTTTAACCATAATTTCTATATAAATGACTCACGTATCTATAAATCTAGCCTTCATCTTTCTCTCTTGCACTCTAGGCCCTACATTTCCAACTGCTTACTGGCCATCTCAACCTAGACGTCAGATACAAAAATCCCCCTCAGTGTATCCAAGACCAAACTCATTATCTTTCTATCTAAGCTTAGTCCTCCTCCTAACTTCCCTGTTTTTGTCTAGGACACTATCATTCTTCCAGTTATCTAGTTTCACAATGCAGGAGTCAGATTCAACATTTTAAAAAATTCCAGTCACTTCCTGAGTTTTGTCATTTTCACCTCCTTAACATTTATTGCATTCATCCCCTTTCTTTCCATTCACAGCACCGTCTCCCTCATTCAGGCCCTCACGCCTCTTGCCTAGAGGATGGCAGCAGCCTCCCTAATTAGTGTCCCGCACCCAGTCTCTCCGATCTCCAATCCATGTTTTACACAGCTGCCCAATTAGTATTCCTGAAGAACAACTCTGACCACATCACCCCCATGACAAGATGTTTCAATGCTTTCTATTGCCTGTAGAATAAAAAAACAACCTTTGTTTGGTATTGAAACCCATTAAGATCTGGCTCTGGAATATCTCTCCAAGCTGATTACATATGCATTCGATGTCCCAGGCAAACTGGACTACTTGGTGTTCCTCGTACACAACACCCAATTTCCTGTATCTGTGGCTTTGTACAGGCTGTCCCCCATGCCTGAAATGCTGAACACAGGGCTTGGCACATATTAGGTGCTTAATAAATGTTTATTGATGGATTGATCTTCTTATGCCTCACCTCCAACTCTGGGAACATCTAGTTCCTTTCAAAGCTTTAGCGCAAGTGTCAAGGGAAGGGAAGGAAGGGGAGAAAAAAGGGAAAGGTAAAGAAGGGAAAGGAGTTTAAAAGAGAGGTCAACCTCAAGGGAACTGTGCTAAGTGTGGAAGCAAACAATAGTCCCTGCCCTCAAGGAGCTTGTAATCTAATAGCTTTGATCCTGGAGGCAATAGGAGCTACTGCATTTCATTGAGTGGTGTGGTGTATGTGTGTGTGTGAGTGTGACATGAGTAGACTATATCTCATTTTGGTGACTACTATTGATTGCATTAGCCAGCGGGCCCAGCATAGCAAGCACTGATGGCAAGGGCTACTCTTTTGGTCTTGGATGTGAATGACAGACATTCAAAGCCAGTAAACATACAAGAAGGCAGCTAGGTGGTGCCATAGTGCATAGAGTGCTGGTCTGGGAGACAGGAAGACCTGAATCCAAATCCAACCTCAGATACTAGCGGGTAAGCATTTAACCCTGTTTGCTTCAGTTTCCTCGTGTGTAAAATGACCTTGAGAAGGAAATGGCAAACCACTCCCATATCTTTGCCAAGAAAACCCCCAATGGGATCATGAAGAATGAGATACGGCTGAAACGCCTCACCAACAAAAAAAATCATAGAACTATGTCTCTCGCCTGCCCCCCCCCCCCTTTTGCCAGAATCCTGGTGGAAGAGGTGGAGGGTCAGACGAGCTCCTAACTATTCCTTTCCAGTAACCCCTGCAGAGCTAGTCTCAAGCCTGGTCAATGAATAGGTCTGGTTAGCAAGAACCATGGTAAAATTTCTATTTTGACTAATAATAGGTAGAATTTATATGTTGCTTTAAGGTTTGCAAAATGCTTTACAAATATTATCTCCCAGATCTTCACAATTACCCTGGGAGGTAGGTGCTATACTATCCTCGGGTTATAGATAAGGAAATTGAGGCGGGCTTCAGTTAAGTGATTTGCCTAGAGTCATACAGCTACTATCTGAGACTGAGTGCTAACCCAGGAAGATGAGTCTCCCTGACTCTAAGTCAGGCACTCTATCTATTGCGCCACTTTAAAGAGACACAGAGAGAGAGAGAGAGAGAGAGAGAGAGAGAGAGAGAGAGAGAGATTGAGATTATATATGTGCCACTTTATACTCAGTTTATATATATATATATACATATATATGCATATATATGGCAAAATGTATTTTGTATTTAATTTCCTACATAGTTTTTGTTTTTCCTAATAGATTATAAGTTCATTGAGGGCAGCAAATTTTTCGATTTTTAATGTTAATTTTTGGTTTTCTTTTTTATATATTTTATTATTATTTTATATTTATATATTTTATTTATATTTATACATTCTATTATATATATTATATATATTTTATTATTATTATATTATTTTTGTGTTCCCATTATCTATCTAGCACAACTTCTGGTACAAAATATGTGCTAACTGAATTAAATTGCAAAAAGAACCACCTAGAGTTTCTGACCAAATAAAACTATTCATGGCCCCTCCCTGCCTGTGAAGGCTTAGTTGGGCAAAGACATTAAGAACCCCTCAGCCTAGATATCACTGGTTCTCTCTGTCCCCAATTCGCCCTTCCCAGTAATTGTTAGTACTTAACAAGTCCAGTAAACACTGACCCGCCATATTGGAAGAAGAGGGAGGGAACAGACCAAGCTGAGCTCTTAGTATAAAAACAGAAGGCCAGGCCAAGTGCAAATCTAGGATATATAGGATTTATAGCTAGAAGGTCCTTAGAGGTCATCTTGACCATTCTCCTCTATGTACAGCTGAAGTCACAGGCTAGAGACATTATGCAACTTCCATGATGTCACATGGATTCAAATCCAGTTCTTCTGATTCAATCCAATGTTTTTTCCATTACGCCCATGAGCTCATGTAGGTCAGCAGATCCAGACAGGTAAGGAAGAGTTGTGAACTGAGTCTGAGAACAAAAACGTGGAGGTGGAGGTGAAATCCAAAATGAAACAAGATTAGGAAAACATCAGACAGCAGGGAGCATGAAGCATTGGCGATCAAGTGTCTCGCTTGAGGAATCTGACTAAAGCAGCAGTCTTTGATGCCAGAAGCATGCTAGCTATACTTGATCCTCATGTAGCTGAATCCATGCAACTGGGGTGGACTGTACAGTTTAATTAAATGAATTGAAAAAAACAAATTAGGGCAATTGAAGGAGAGACATTTTTAAATTAAGAAAAGAAATGGAATACAGCATAAGTATTGGAAGAAAATAGCAGGCTTTGGTCTATGTTTATACACCATTACATGGCACACGTGATTCCAGTTGGCTGACCCTGCTGGCACCTGACTGCACTGATAATGTGCTAACAGAATCAGCACCCAAAAGATTTTGGAGGGCTAGAATTTTGGGGTCCAATCTAAGATAATGAAGTGTAATGGGGGTAAATGTCAAGTTTTTCACTTGGACTCAAAAGAATAAAATTCACAAGTTTAATATAGCAAAGATTTGAAAAAAAGATTTGGCAATTTTGTTGGACTGCAAGCTCAAAATGGTCCAATGGTGTCATTTGGATGCCCAAAACATGTCAATGCAATCTTGTGCTACATTAAGAGA